CCCCACTAACTCACTCTCACCTGACACACGCTTTGCACTTCTTCTGTCTCGCTTTCTCTGTCTTTCTCTGTCTTTCTCTCTGTCTCTCTGTCTCTCTGTCTCTCTGCTAACACAAGGGTTCAACATGAATTGTATGATCATCTCACTGAAACTAATAACTGTGGGCTCACACAATGCCTGGCTCTTATAAACTCATCCCATTTAATATGATTTTATGTTCTGCATTTCATTTGATATAAACTTTATTTAATGTCAAGTTACAGTAATATTGGGTATTTTGGGGAGGCTGAAGGCATCATAGTGCCAGAGGCATCATACGATCCCTTAATCTAATTTCGCGATCATGTATATGTTGGGAGATTATGCTGCGGATGCAGATCCGCTATATGAGCTTCACTATATGCTTCACTATGTAGTGAAGCGTATAGTGAAGGTCCTAAAAATGATACAGCTAGCATGAGGCTGTTAATTGATGTTTTTGTGTCTCTGACTTGCTGACCAGTCTAGTCAGACCGTGTCAGCACCGAGGAAAAAGTGCCTTTCACGGTTCTCCACCTTGTCCTGAAGTTGGATAAATTATAGAGGAGGGTTATCTTGGGGTTATCTTGAGATGATTTCCGGGCTTAGCGTCCCCGCGCCCCGGTCCTCGACCAGGCCTCCTTTTTGTTACACAATCCCCCAGGAAGCAGCCCGTAGCAGCTGTCTAACTCTCAGGTACCTATTTACTGCTAGGTAACAAGAGCATCAGGGGTGAAAGAAACAATTTGCTCATTTGTCTTCGCCTCCACCGGGGATCGAACCCGGAACCTCAGGACTACGAATGCTAAGCGCTGTCCACCCAGCTGTCAGGCGCCCATGAGGGGGAACACATGCCATCCACAAAAGAAGTGCAGGTTTAAAATGGAAGTGAACTTGTAATTCTCATAATGTTTTGCAACTACTGCTGTCGAGAAGTTGTCAGAAGTGACTTAATGTTGCACGTTTCTTGGCTGTCTTGCTCTTCAGAGTATATTGAAGAATCAAACTTCATTCCTAAGACGTCAACTTCATCACTGAGCCCAAAAGTTTTTGCCACACATTATTATTCTTGTCCCAGTTGTAATATCATGTTGTAGTTATAATAAATACCCGTCTTTTCTCAGCTGGTAATGTGGCATGCCGCCGCCTACCCCCTGGTAGATAATTCAGCATCTGGGTGATTAATGACCCTCATAGTAGTTGGCATTTCCTCTTTTGTTTATGTAAAGGTTAGAGTACAATTATGAGCTTGAGTGTCAGCCGCTGTGAAGAGGTGTAGTCGATCGGTTAAGTGTGCATGCCATAAAAAGTGGTCAAAAGGTATGAAGCCCTAACTGAATTCCTTTCATATTCTCATCTTTTAAGGACAACACTATCTATCAGTCAATTTCTCTCTTAAGTTCTTGGATTGATGGTGAGAACTAATGAATGGATAGATTATTTAAATCGATAGATGTTACTGTAGTAGCAGCTGCCACTGGGACAGTCTGAGAGAGAGTAATACTGAGGCTGAGACTGAGAGCTACACAGGAAGAGCCACTGCCACACACAGGTATCTCGGTGCATGTTGGACCATCACCACACGACACAGATATCTATAGTGAGATCATCGCGAGAAACACCCAGGCAATAGAAAAAAAAATGAAAATAAATTTGGGATTTTTTTTTTTCAACAACAGTAAGTTAAGGGTCCTCTGATAGGTTAGGTGGGCAGGAAATTCTCATAAAGTTTCAAAACGTTATGAAAAACGTTAATTTAAAGTGTCCTCTCATAACCTCTGCGCGTAAGCCGGACGACTCAAATAGAAAACGGAACAGAACGTCACTTTTGTGAGTCTATTTCATTTCAAATTACGTCCAAATTTAGCTATAGCGCGCATACGAGCCAAAAGTGACGTTATTTTTAAGAGGACGGGTTGGATTATGATACTTATCGCAACATTCTCCTCTCTTCCCCTTGACAGATGAAACACAACAGACGCCATTGATTGAGATAAGCTGTCTTGCTCCTAAACAATTCTCAGAACGAATTGGACTCAGGACTCGGGCCCAAGAATGAATGGTTGGAAAAACGCGTCAAGATCAAATAGGAGATTGTAGAGAGTGATATGTCACATAATTCTCGATGACACCAAATTGTACCCCACTGCCAAGCCGTTCAGGGAATCTTCCCCCCCCCCCAACCCATCACTGTTTCCATCCACTGCCACTACCTACCCCAACCCCCCCACGCGATCACTGCCCCCCCCCCCGTAACCCCATGTGTTAACACCTCCCCAACCCCACGCTGTCACCGCTTCTCGGCTACCCCCCTCCCCCTACACCCTCGCGAAACTCTCACTAAAGTGTGTGTGCGTGTAGTTACCTAAGTGTAATTACCTAAGTGTAGTTACAGGATGAGAGCTTCGCTCGTGGTGTCCCGTCTTCCCAGCACTCTTTGTCATATAACGCTTTGAAACTACTGACGGGCTTGGCCTCCACCACCTTCTCCCCTAACTTGTTCCAACCGTCTATACCACTCTGTTTGCGAAACAGAGTGTGTGAGTGTGTGCGTGCGCGCGAGTGTACTAGCCAATTTGCACTTATAGGGAAAAAGAGTCAGTTCAAAGCGTGCGAAACAAATGCAGATAAAAACCTAACATAAATATTCCCAGGCCTAATATAGCACATATATGTACTATATCAAGCCTCAGACATGTGTGTTTTAGGCCTAGGAAGGTTAGGTTAAATTTTCTTTGCAACATCGATCAATACAAAAACTTTTCCGGTTTGTCTAAATTTTGTAGTAATGATTTTTACTTCTAATTGCAGGCGATGACCCTGGAAACACAAACCGAAACTGTCTCTATTTTCCGCTTGTTACAACTTGTAATAAAGTTGTTACATCTTGGCTTAACGTGTTTATGACGTATTAGAACGTTGTTACAACTTGCTATATTGCTTGTTATAACTGGTTAGGAGGGGTTAAAACTTGTTCGAACGTTGTACCAACGTCGTAGTTTCGGTGTGTGTTTGGCGGGGAGTCATAATATCGTGGCTAAAGAATCGACTGAATCGACTTGAGAATGGTCCAGGACGGACCGAAACGTCGTCGTCCCTTCACTTTCTAGTGTGTGGTCTGGTCAACATTTCTACCTCTAATTGCCTTATCCGTCAGTATATTTAGTAGGGTCCTGATCGTTACTATAAGTACTACCTAACAGGACGAAAGGCTGTATTTTTTACGTTTCTTGTTAGCCAAAACAGTTACATTATTTACGTAGTGGCAAATGCAGCAAGCGGCGTAGCGACCACATCTCGTTTTCTTTACCACTGAACATCAAATTGTAAATAAATAATTGTAAATATCATTTGTTTTTAAATTATATTTTGCGGCGCGTCGCAGTTCAGAACTGATTTACAGTAGATATATATATTATTTATCTAAGTTTCTCTTACGTTTAAACAGTTAAGTGTTTGAGGAGTGACTCGCTGAGGTCCTCATCATCAACTCATCATCAATTCAAGTGCAACGCCAATTCAACGTTGAACCAACGTTGATGACGTTAGTTTAACGTCGGACTAACGTCACTCTTGGATATTGTGGTCAATGGGAACTTTCTTCGTCTAAAATACACGAAAACGTCATATCGAGATACAAAATTTCCCTCGGAAATTCAACCGTTAACAGAAGAAGGTAACGGAGCGCATCTTAGTCATTTGCAACTCCTGGAGTATAATTAACAACGGATCAACGTTATCAAGGCTCCTTCGATGTTGAACCAGCGTTATTTGCCTCGATTTACCCCTGAACGTTTAGGGAAGTGAAAGGCACCTTAATCATTTGGAAATATATACATCTCATCCAGTAAAGTGGATTCCATCATCTTGACGGCGTCTTCGCTGCATTATGACTACAGAAGACAACATTACACAGGTGCCTTCTGCAGCTGTTATCATAGAGTAGAATCTGATCCTGTACGGAACCTGAACAGCACGTTGTCGGCCGACGAGGCAATTCGATGACTCTGCTGTGCTTCAGCTGGGCCACAGTGGCTCTTCTGTGCTTCAGCTGGGCCACAGTGGCTCTTCTGTGCTTCAGCTGGGCCACAGTGGCTCTTCTGTGCTTCAGCTGGGCCACAGTGGCTCTGCTGTGCTTCAGCTGGGCCACAGTGGCTCTGCTGTGCTTCAGCTGGGCCACAGTGGCTCTTCTGTGCTTCAGCTGGGCCACAGTGGCTCTGCTGTGCTTCAGCTGGGCCACAGTGGCTCTGCTGTGCTTCAGCTGGGCCACAGTGGCTCTTCTGTGCTTCAGCTGGGCCACGGTGGCTCGACTGTGCTTCACCTGATCACACTACACTAAGCTAATCAAGTTTCAATAACCTCACGGCATATATACACACCTATATGTGTACCCAGTTCCTCAGTGTATACACATAAAGAGTTTACCGTAATCTTGGCCTTTGCTCAGGCTGAAGGTATAATTCTTGGTTGATCAGTAAGCTCTTGTCCAGGGCCTTAACAACCCCTCAAGAGGTTGATAGGCCCTAACCCCCCCAACACCAAACGAGTATGATGGGAAATATATTGTGTAGCTTGGAGGAGGTAGTGTAACAAACTAGGTTTGTTGTAAGAATTATCCAGAAGGTTCCAGAAGTCTCGTGTAGAGACCTGACCCCAGCAACGCGCATCCCCCAGGGAATTCGCGGTGAAAATAATTGACGCCTTTGTTCATAGTTTCGTATAATGAATCATTAAGGGAACAAGCTCTCTGCAGATATTTGTAGTTAAGGAGATAAACCCCAAAAATAACAGATAATCTATGCAGATGAAGAATCCCAATAACGTGGCTGAAAATGACCAAACCACACACTAAGAAGGGACGACGACGTTTCGGTCCGTCCTGGACCAGTCGATTGGTCCAGGACGGACCGAAACGTCGTCATCTCTTCACTTTCTAATGTGTGGTTTGGTCCACAGATAAACTAAATCCAGGATAGACTGACCAGGTAGTGGGAGGCGGAGCAGGGGCCGTCGGAGGGGTGGTCGTGGTCGCTGGCCCCAGGGGAAGGAGTCCCATGGAGCAAGTCTTCCAGGGACTCGATGTACTCGATGGCGTTCCTCAGGATCTCCACCTTGGGCATCCGCTGGTTGGGGTTGCTGCACGTTCGTCGCTTCAGGATCTCGAAGGCTTCGTTCACCTGTTGGGAGTGAGGGAGGCGTGAGGTTAGTTGAAGGTGAGTAATGGCGCACGTTATAGTTAGTTGAAGGCTGACAAGTTATGATAGTTGAAGGTGGACAAGTTATGTTACTTGAAGCTGGATAAGTTATGTTATTTGAAGGTGGACAAGTTACGTTAGTTAAAGGTGGACAAGTTATGTTAGTTGAAGGTGGACAAGTTATGTTAGTTGAAGGTGGACAAGTTATGTTACTTGAAGGTGGACAAGTTATATAAAGTGGACATGGTGGGCACATTAAAATATGAAGATGGGCTGACATGCAAACTAGGTGTTTCATGGGGCTTCGAATAACAAGATAATGAACAATAAAGACAAGTTCCAGTTCCTGCGCGATGGTAAAGGAGAAAAAAATCCACCCGGAAACCGAATATAAAAATCAGTCAAACCTCACTACAAAGTTTTGGGAACAGTCATGTCACCAAACTTTCTAAGAACACAGTAACGTAGTCGTCACAACTGTCAGAAAAATGACAGTGACAGACTGGATAATAAGAACGCTTCAAACAATAGATACCAAAAAACTTATGAGACTTTAACAGCATTAGTCAAAGCTGGAAAAATTTACTGACCTGGAGAACGTGCAGAGATCTTTTACTGCCCAAATTCATTCAATAAAGCTTATTGGGATCGCTTAAAATATCCCAAACAGTGGTGTTTAGAGTGCAGGGGCCAGATTCACGAAGCAGTTACGCAAGCACTTACGAACCTGTCCATCTTTTCTCAATCTTTGGCGGCTTTGTTTACAATTATTAAACAGTTAATGAGTTCCGAAGCACCAGGAGGCTGTTTATAACATTAACAACAGTTGACTGACAAGTTTTCATGCTTGTAAACTGCTTAATAAATGTAACCAAAACCGTCAAAGATTGAGGAAAGATGTACACGTTCGCTAGTACTTGCGTAACTGCTTCGTGAATCTGGCCCCAGGACAGAAATGCATAGATATTTACACTTGGGAAATATTAGAGGGACTGGTGTCAAATTTGCATATGAAAATAACTCATCGCGAAACCAGGAGGCATTACAAATTACAACACATTCCCATTGAAAAACAAAGATGCAATAGGCCCGCTAAAAAAACAAACCAGTCAACAAAACGGGCCCAAGACCTCTCAACACTTACATAATGGGTGAGTGTCGGGGAGCCGGTCGGCCGAGCGGACAGCACGCTGGACTTGTGATCCTGTGATCCTGGGTTCGATCCCAAGCGCCGGCGAGAAACATTGGGCAGAGTTTCTTTCACCCTATGCCCCTGTTACCTAGCAGTAAAATAGGTACCTGGGTGTTAGTCAGCTGTCACGGGCTGCTTCCTGGGGGTGGAGGCCTGGTCGAGGACCGGGCCGCGGGGACACTAAAAAGCCCCGAAATCATCTCAAGATAACCTCAAAATGGGCATAACTAGCTGACCTCCCGCTGCATGCAACAGATACCTTAATAATCCCCTCGAAATAATACCTGATCAACCGGACTGTGATTCATTTGACAGACTGGGAGAAGCGGCATCTAACAGTCTGGATTTTGCACCGGAAAACCCCCTTCCTCCCCCCCCCCTCCCAATCACCAATCCATCACCTCGTTATTCACCAGTCCGGACAAATTGTATGAAGAGTCCTGGAGGAATTGTCGAGGTAAAGTATTTCGGAGGAAACTCAATAAAATGCGAGGAATCCGCGGGGCTAAAAGCTAAGGTGCGGGGCGTTTGAAGAGGGCGGGAGGAGCCCCCGGTGAGCTCCAGGAGCCCCCGGTGAGCTCCAGGAGCCCCCGGTGAGCTCCAGGAGCCCCCGGTGAGCTCCAGGAGCCCCCAGGAGCCCCCAGGAGCCTCTGGTGAACTCCAGGAGCCTCAGGTGAGCTCCAGGAGCCCCCAGGAGCTCCCAGGAGCCCCCAGGAACCCCCCAGTGAGTCTCAAGAGCCTTTGGTGAGTCCCAGGAGCCAGGGTCCTAGCTCTTGGGACCACGGGCGTCGAGGATACCACCCACTTGCACATCAGTGGGAGGATCATGCAGGTGGGTGTAACGTACAGACACATGTAAACAGTGTTATATATATGAATACACGCTCTCATGTGTGTGTATATATATTTCATATGTGGAATGAAATGCGGGAGGTTGTTTGCTTTCCTTGCGGTTACCTTGCGATGATTTCGGGGCTCCATGTCCTCGAGGCCCAGTCCCCGAACAAGCCAAGCCGCTTTATTTAGACCATTTTCTACATATACACACACACATGTGACGATACAGGCTCTCACACGGACAAGTATACACACACTCGCTCATACAGACTCTCACGCGGACATGTATACACACACTCGCTCATACAATCTGTCACACGGACATGTATACCCACATTTAAAGGAGCGGATTCGTGGGTGTCAGTCACACTCCAAGGTTTTAAGACCCTCATCAATCCATCAACTTGACTATAAAGTCTACCCCCAAGGCATCCCCTGGAGCTCAGAACCGTCCCTGAGGCTCTATAGCTCCTCCCCTTCAGCTTCCTTGAAGACTCAAGGCTCATCTACCAATCTCCACCCTTTAAGATCCACCTCGAACCTCTTCTAGATTTTGAAAGTACACTTCGAACATCATGCAATGTTTCTGTCACATAATTGAGGGCCGGCCAGGCCAGGAGGTCCTGCTTGGTGGTGGGGACATGTGGCAGTATTCAGGTCGGAGACGGCTTCTACAGACAGCGACGACGAGCCTGCGTTTTCGTCTGATGTCGCTGCAAATGACCTTTTTCTGGGTGAAAGGGAATCCCTTGCTTACTGGTGGCCCGGGAGTCACTTGTCACATGTTTTGTAGCTCGGGCGCTAGGCCTCGACGCCAGCCGACGGGTCCTTCTCGAGACCTGAGGACAGTATCATCGTCTCCCTCTTCCTGCCCGAGGACACTGGAGAATGTTCTTTCTTCCCCCCTTTACCCCTTTCATTCTCATTCTTCTCCCACTCTCACCACATTCACTCTCACCCTTGTACACACACACTTTCACTCGCTCTTCCCCCTCACGCACTCACTAACACCATCCATCTCCCGTCTCCGATCTCATATTCCTCACCCCCGTAGACACCACAAAAGTCCCTCCGTCTAACATTTCCGCCTCAAATAAAAAGGCAGCATTCTCCCCCGCCCTTCCCATGACTCCGGGCGTGCATGCTTGCCAGTGTGTTATTGTACAACACAGATTCACGGGTCACCGTCACCGATCTCACCCTCTCGCTCTCCCCCCCCCCCCCCACACACACACTGACGTGGACACTGATTTAAAAGAGAGAGAGAGAATAATGTCTTTGGTATTCCTGAGACGTGTGTCGGGTCTCGCACCGTCGACGCTAGTTTTCCAGGAAATATTTTGACTACAAAACTTGCTCTACTTCTTAGAGAATATTTGGATACGTTATTTTTTTCCTGGTTACGTTAAGGAGGTCAAACTTTAGGGGATAATGTATTGTTGTTTACTTGTATTCTTTTAGGTAGTTTCTTTTACGCTGACTAAGAAAATCATCAGCAGGTGCATGTAACAGAGAGAGAGAGAGAGAGGGGGGGGGTTGGAGTAGGGGGTGATTGTGGGAGGAGGTAGGAGGTACTGGAGGGGAGCCTTACCTAACAGTGCTTAACTATCAGTGACTATGGGAAAGGTCTAGATGTTTACGACCCGCTAACTGGCTGTGTTGTACCATTTGTGTTATAATGGAACTATTCTGAGGGTCGAATTCTTTGTGGAATGTAGACCACTCGTACAGGGTACGAGGATTGCCTTATATTTCTTATACACATTTGCATTTCCAGCTTTCACTTATGTCCTCTCATCCTACTTTGTTTCATTTTAGGGCGTCTATCCCTGTCCATCTTGTTGTAACAAACTAGGCTGTTGTAAGAATTATTCCAGAAGGTTCCAGAAGTTTCGGGTAGGGACCTGACCTCTCAACGCACATTCCCCTGGGGATTAGCAGGTCTGAGTCACAAATGGCGGGCGTCTCTGTTCATAGTTGCGTATAATGAATCATCCTATAGTATTCAGTAATTTAGAGATATTAGCCTTTATTCATTTTGTATTAAAATTGTATTGTATAATATTACTGGATACAATATCAAGAGTATTCTAATTATTGAGTTAAGTCACCATCAGTGACGTCACGAATCAGATCTAAGTTGTAAGGCGCGAGTGACCGGCGGTCATAGGTCATCAGAGTTGACATGTCCACTATTTTCTCAAAGTTCAAATAACCATTTTGGTGATCGGGAACAGCTCTGCCGTTAGATGCTTGTGTAATTTAATTTCAGTAAAATAATTCAACCAGTCTGGATCAATTAAGTACAACAGAGGTTAATTGTTATAACTTAAACCTGGCTAAGTAACTTGGTAAGCGATGCAGAACAATACAATGCTCTATTTTGGGGTAGATCAGAGAGAGGAGAGATCAGTGTGGACGCCAGATCAACTGGGGGAGGTCAACCCATCATTGTCCTCAGTATCTTGTGTGTTGTAATCATTACCCCTTCCATTGTTTTCTTCCCTATAAGATTGTGATGTTTAGCTCTCACAACCCATCCTCACAGCCCAACCTTCTTAGCTCTGCCATATAGCAATCCTTTTCATTATTTAAAATTGTGTTTTATGCCTCACAAAATTCGGATTCCAGGTCGGTGCTGCATATTCCAGTATAGGTGTAAAACGAAGGTTAACGTAGTACATTGCCGGGTAGTGGGTGTGGGGGTGTGGGGTGAGCACGGGTGTGGTGGGTATGGGTGTGGGGGGGTGAGCACAGCCTGGTGGGGGGGTGAGCACGGGTGTGGGGGTGTGGGGGGGTGAGCACGGGTGTGGGGGTGTGGGGGGGTGAGAACGGGTGTGGGGGTGTGGGGGGGTGAGCAGGGTGTGGGGGTGTGGGGGGGTGAGCACGGGTGTGGGGGTGTGGGGGGGTGAGCACGGGTGGTGGGTGTGGGGGTGAGCACGGGTGTGGGCAT